CTGTGGCCCAAACTGAGGCTGCCTCAGGGCCTTTGCACTGCCAGCACCCATTGGAATGGTCTCCCCAGACATTGCTCCCTCCCCATTGTGTGCCTCTGAGCACTCTACCTAATCGGGTCACTCCCCCCTTTAGGAGCAGGGACTGGATGCACTGATTTATCCTCAGGGACTAGATCAATGCCTCTCAGGTAGAGATGCTCACTGGAATGCAACAGAGCTGGCAGACTGCCTGCGTTGAATTTAAAAAAAAGAAAAAGAAATGGCATTGCTGGGTCCTGTGGTAACTGTTTAAACTAAGGCACTGGCAGGCTCTTTTCCGAGGCAGCTGCTCCATTTTACGTGCCTGCCAGCAATGTGTGAGGACTCGACTTATCTCTGCCAACACTGTTATCATCTGCCTCTTTAATGACAGTCACTGTGTCGGATGTGAACTGGTATCTCATTGTGGTTGCGATATGCATTTCCCTAGTGGCTGATGATGTTGAGCATCTTTTCATGGGCTTATTGGCATCCTTACTTTTTAATACTTTTATAGGAAAGAGCACCAGAGGAAGTGCAGTCACCCCCAAACTTTCAGAATGTAACCCAGCCATGGCTGTCCCTCTCTACTGTTACATCACCATGGGCTTGGGAACGTGCACCAGGCCAGGCCTCACTCATGTCATGATTCTATCCATACCCGTCTTCCGGGTCCTCCTTCCTCAGCCTGTCACAGGGGCCACCTCCCTTTGCAGTTTCCTGTGCATCAGACTTGAGTCACCCTTTCTTGCCTTCCTTGGTTTGTGTGTCAGAACTCAGTGGTTTTGTTTCCGACACATACTTCAAGGCCCAGCACAGTGCCACAGAGTAGGAACTGCCCATCTGTAAGAGGATGCGAGTGCATGGCTCTCGTGAACATTAACAGTGGCAATGGGGAGGCGGTGCCCCCTGAGCCTGAGCCACCACCCCTCCCTGTGGCCAGTATGGCTGCTAGGACCCCTGAGCGGCTGTTCCTGGCTATGGGCAGAGAGCATGAGAACAAGGGCTGCTACATTCTCCCCATCCTGAGTTGATAGGACACACAATATCCTTCAAGAAGAAAAAGACCAATTTGAATCATTGTGAAAACTGGATTTAAACAAGACAATTAGCTCTGCACACACTTCAAAATTCAAAGCGTTATGAGAATGGGCAGGTACAATCAAGTGTATTGAAACATGGGCAGTGATGTAGCAAGTTACACTCAGGAGGCACTAGATGTGAAACGGAGGCACCTTGATTCGACAGCTTAGCTTTTACATCTGTAGTTCCTTTTACTAAGTGTAGAACATCATTTCCACATTGAGTTACTTCAAAGCTGGGAGAAGGAATGCTTTTCTTAGAACTCCGATTATGTCTTAAAGAAACACAAAATACAGACTTACACATGTCGGGTCCATCTCAGACCATTCGGTGGTGAGCTATTTAACACAGCCTTTTACCTGCTGAGCCACACTGGGCAGGGTCAGCTTCACTGCCTCAAAATAAAGCCCGTCAGAAAAAGCACATCTTTGGACATATACACAATTAAGTCGATGTGCTAGGCACAGAGCTGGCAGACTGCCTGCGTCGAATTAACTGGCCATTAACCAGTTGGGTGACCTCAGCAATTACTCCCTCTGAGCCCCTGTTTCCCCACCTGTAAAATGGAGACAATAGCAGGTGCTTCAGAGGGCTGTGTGATGAGGAGAGGAGTCAGTATCTGCAAGGTGCTCAGAACAGTGCCTGGCACTCAGCAGGTGCTATGTTCACCAAATAAAATAAATTCCCTATTCACTGTTTTCTATTTTTGTGGGATGGATTTTAATCTCTTTAAAGTGAGTCAAACTTGCAATGAAAAGATAAGTGGTTTGGGTCAATAATAACTGCTCTGGCTCAACTTAGCTCTCTCATCAACTCTGGTATGAATTCCTTTATCTAAACCTTAGGATTATATTAATATTTTTGTGAATTCATAACACTTCTTTTAAAGTATTTCAAATTTTCCCCTGCTTTTTTTTTTTTAAGACCTAAGACCATCAAGTTGAATTTTGAGTATCAACGAGGCAAAACTGTAATAAATATGTATTTTTTAAATTGCAAGACCTATAAACATTCTATTAATAACAAAAGAAAACCTATGATTTTTTAATGTTCCCTAGTGAACATTAATCTTCTGAGGGGACAAAAAACTTCTGTTTTGTGCCCAATTTAAGAAACTGGCCCAAACAATTTAATAAGCAATTCAAATTCAAAATAATGTAATAGCTGACTAAATGGGAACAAAATAACAGTCTAAATTTATGTAATGGTGAGCTGTAAGGATCTCAAAGCAAACTCATCAACTCCCCAAAGAAAGTCTCCTGTTACTCCTTGAGAAATAAGTGAGAACAAGCTTTATTTGTGTGCGCGTTAAGGATGCTAAAACAGGCTCAAAGTTTCTTTTAAATATGTTGCCAAAACATTTCCTACTGACCATGTGTTTTTCCTTTCTACCTTTTCAATATTTTCTAAATTTTTAAAAATAAGTGTTGTTTGATTTAGGGACAAAACTGGAAGTTTTGCATGCATTTCAGTTTCCTTTTTTATTATTATTATTATTTTATTTTATTTTTTGTTAATCCTCACCCGAGGATATTTTTCCATTAACTTTTAGAGAGAGTGGAGGAGGAGAAATAGAGAGAAACATCAATGTGAGAAAGACACATCATTTGGTTGCCTCCCACACAAGTCCTGACCTAGGCCAGAGATTGAGCCTGTAACCGAGGTATGTGCCCCTTGACCAGAATCGAACACGGGACCCTTCAGTCCGAGAGCTGACGCTCTATCCACTGAGTCAAACAGGCTAGGGCTCAGTTTCCCCTTTTAAATGAGTCCAGTTCTTTGACTTATGTATGTGACCGCAGGCACACACCCTGACAACCTGAGTCACATGACTTACTACATACCAATTAAACACAGGGGATTAAAATATTTTACCTGCCAAATCCTGACTACAGACCTCTGGTTTCTGGCTTTTTGTTGTTTGCTCATTGCTCCCAACAAGGCAAGATGGTTAAGCTCTCGAGCTTCTTACATGGCTGTGGTTGCTAGGATCACGCTGCTCATGCCTACTAAACCCAAGCGCTTAGATACTAAACCCACTGCTTTTCTTTGGAGAAAAGGATATCAATAAAATCTAGAAAAGTGAGAAAAATACGATCTAACTTAGGTCTTTCTCTTTTTCCTATGAATTTTCCACTACACTTCCATATAGGGAATTTAAACAGGTATAGGGTAGTATTTTAGTTTAAACTAACAATAAAATGAACTAAGCAAATAAAAAAACATTAGGCCTCCAAAAGCAACTCCTACTAGGACAAAACTTTACCATGGAGTTGATATAAATGAACAGAAAATTAATAACCATATGAGATAACAAATATAAGCAGAAGGACAACTTGAAACAAAAACAACACACAATAAAAGTTACTTCCGTTCCCTCTGAATAAAACACACATCCACATGAAACTCCCCCAGTGCAACATACTTTCCTTACTGGAATGGAAGTTTTAAGCCTGTGTTCATAACAACATGGGTTGCTGTGGAAATAGCTGATTCAACATTATGAACTCACAGCTGAATAAAACAAGGTGTGGAACAGAAGTCTTATTTAAACAGTGGCCAGAACCATAAAACAAAATCGGCAAACTGAGCAACGGTGAGTCAGAGCATCCTGAGTTTAATGTGCGGATCATGCATGTTTCCCCATACAGGATGTTTCTTTTTCATTTAGTCCTATATTTTGGAACCCTATAAACATCGCAGGCATCCCTCCATGTCCCAGTGAATAGTTTATCACACTGACCCTGCTCAGGACAGAGTTACTCTAGTTCAGGCCTCGCCAGAACCTACAGAGCCGCCAGAACCTACAGAGCCAACAGAACCCAAGTCAGGGAGGGTTCTGAAAAGTTTCTGTGTGTAACTGATTCTGTTAAATACAGTGCTGACTTATCCATCATACAGCACCCTCAGGCCTAGGCTTCATCTCCAGGTTCTAAGACAATAAATGCTACAAGTACAAAACCCAATTTTTAAGTCAGAGAATGTTAACGAGCACCCAGACCCACTTCACAGCCAGCAGCCCAGTCTCCAGCCCCAAGCCCTGTCACCACACCTCAGATTTGTTCCTCCACTTTTATGGTGTTTTCCAAGCAATGCTGCAAACCCTCGAGACACCTGACATAGAAATGGGGTGAGTTACCTGAACTTTAGAGTGTATGCTCTGCTTCCCTCCCCTTTTCTTTCAGCAGGCACACACTTTACCAATCTTTCCCTCTGGCTTTCTCAACCTTCCAAATTAGAGCATTTTGAAGCCAAAAATTGACCCTTTATAAAACATATTTGACAAGTTTTAAAACTAATGGTTGTGTGTAGGGCTAGTGACAAAAAAAAAAAAAAATGGACCTTTCCCCCTTAGGAGATGAGCCAGGAGGAACTGGCTCTGTAAATAGAAACCCAGATAGATTCCCCTGGCAGCTGGCACCACCGAGGGTGTGGCTGCCCTCGAGTGTGCACAGGAGACCAATTCATACCAGCAAGACCGGAAAAATCACAACTGAGAGCAACTGTGGAAGCACGGAGAGCCAAGAACAGAACGCAAAGGGCTGACTCTCTGCTAGGTGAGTCACAGGAAACCCTCCCGCCAGACCAGAACCCGCCCAGCTCCTTCAGTTGCAAATGTAGGTCAAAGCTCCCTGGGCTTTGGGCTTCAGGGGGAAGGGCTGAGCCCAAGCCTCAGGGGCAGAAGCCCAATTTCTAAGGAGCAGGGAGGCAGGGCACAGGCTTTGGCCTGCCCTCTAAGCCTCCACCTTGGACACACCACAGTGAACTTGATCATCCCAGAAGTGGCCACACTGGGGTGCTGGGCTAGCTCTCCTTTCTAGTCCCGATTTGCACCATTCACACGTTCTTATCAGCACTCGCAGCCGAGCCAGGTTTACATATAATGACGATCAGCTCACCCAGCTCTGTCGACACAGGGGACCCGGTGGCAATCTCACCAATCTTGGCCACTCCATCGTAGTAGGCTTTCCCCGCCAGGATCATAGCTAGACAGGGAAGGTGACACACAAATCATCATTTAGATGAGAAAAGGAGGAAGGGACACAGAGGTTTTCTTCCAAGCATCTCGCAGTCCCTTTAGCTCTGGGAAGGTAGGGCGTGTGCCCAATAGCTGTGCTGGGCAGAGGCCCCACCACTGACAGCACCACGGGACCCTTGCCTATGACCAGCCCCAGGGAACGTGCTGTGCAGGCACTGGAAGTCTAGAGGAGGTCCTGACTTCTCCTGATGCCAGTTCTAGGATGGATGTATTCCTAACATAAACGCTATGTGCATATATGCATGACCCATGGACACAGACAGGCCTGGGCGGGAAGGAGGGCTGGAGGTCACTGGGGGGGAAAAGAGGGCATCTGTAATACTTTCAACAATAAAGATAAATTTTAAAAAGTTGCAGCTTTTACTATCTATGTATACAAATTCAGAAAACATAATGTTCTATCATACAGTTATTTCATCAGACTGAGGATGATCTTAAAGTAGAATCATAAGAACAATAATAAGTTGCATTTGTGTAGACTTTCCAAGTCATTGCTTGAGTTGTTCTAGCTGCGCCCAGTTTCATGAAGGGGAGTGGACTGGAGACATTCTGGGTCCTTCCCAAGGTCAATGGCAAGGCAGAGGGCATGCACACAACGCCAGCCAAGGCACTTCACTTCCTCAGCTCTGAATTACAGTGTTTTTTGATTCTTTGGCCTCAGAACTGAAAAAGGGATGACAGCACCTAAAAACAAGTTCGTAACCAGCAAACTGTCAAGTTAATACACACAATATTTTAGCACAAAGATTTTAAATGGCAAAAAAAAAAAAAAAAAAAGATTTTAAATGGCAAGGTACTGATAAGCTGAAATGCAAATTTGTGGGAGAATGGTATACAGGATTATACAATACTTAAACAAAATTTTTGGTCTGAACCCACACATGGAAATGAAATTTTTCATTATCTGTTCACTTATGTTTAAAACTATTTAACCTTCTTATTCTAGTAAAATATCCTTGATTTTATGATAAAGTTGAATTAACTTTAAAAATTATATTATTTATCCAGAATAAGGAATAAAAAATTTTCCTAATTTTGCTTCCCTCTGTGAATACATGAAGAGATTTTCTACCACTTATTGTTTTAAGGAGTGAAGAATATTAGTTCTATTTTATGTATTTAAACTTTGGGGGTTAACATTGGTTAATTACATTATTTAAATTGCAGGTCTACGACTTTTTAATATGACATCAGTATACTCTATTGTGTGCTTACCACATGAGGTGACTAGCCTCCTAGTCACCATGTGTTTTTGAACTCCTCTGCCCTCTTCGACTTCCCCTATCCTACTTCCCCTCTGATAACCACCACTCTGTTGTATCTATGAGTTTGTTTGTTGTTTTTTGATTTATATCCCACACATGAGTAACATCATATGGTTCTTCCCCTTTTCCATCTGACTTATTTCACTTAGCATAATATTCTCAAGATCCATCCATGTTTTTGCAAGTATTTTTGCAAACGGCAATATTTCATATTTTTTATCGGTAAGTAGTATTCCACTGTATATATGTCCCACATCTTTTTTATTCAATCACCTTCAAAAGATACTTAGGTTGATTCCATGTCTTGACTATTATGAATAATGCTACAATAAATATAGGGGTACACACATCTTTACAAATAAGAGTTTTCAAATTTGGGGGAGAAGATACCCAGAAGAGGGATTGGATTGCTGGGTCATATGGTAGTTCCATTCTTAATTTTCTGAGGAACCTCTGTACTATTTTCCATAGTAGCTGTACCAATTCACATTCCCACCAGCAGTATACAAGGGTTCCCTTTTTTCCATGTCCTCTCCAACACTTGTTTCTTATTTTATTGATAATCGCCATTCTAAAAGATGGTATCTCATCATATTTTGATTTGCATTTCTCTTATAACTAGTACTGTTGAGTGTCTCTTCCTATATCTATTGTCTTCCTTGGAAAAGTGTCTATTCAGATTCTCTGCCCACTTTTACATTGAATTATTTTTTATTGTTGTTGAGTTGCAGGAGTTCTTTATATATTTTGGATATTGTTTGAAAAGATCTCCCAAACAGCTGGCTGCCTTCTAGTTTTGTTGACTGTTTCTTTTGCTGTGCAGAAGCTTTTTAGTTTGATGTAGTTTTACTCATTAATATTTTTTTTACTTCCCTTGTCTTTGGAGTCAAGTTCACAAAATAACCCTCTGAGACCAAGTTCCATAAATTTAGTGCCTATGTTTTCTTCTATGTATTTTATTCTCAGGGCCTTTAAATTATTTTGTTAAAAAATTTTAATATAGTGTCAAATAACAGCATAATTTCATTCTTTTGCATGTAGCTTTCCAGTTTTCCTAACACCATTTATTGAAGAGACTTCCCTTTTTTCCATGGTATGTTTTTGGCTCCTTTGTTGAAAAGTAGTTGCTTATATATAAATGGGTTTAGTTCTGGGCTCTCAAGTCTGTTCCATTGGTCTGTGGGTCTGTTTTTCTGCCAATACCAGAGTGTTTTGATCATCTTAGCTTTGTAGTATAGTTTGAAGTTAGGGAGGTTGGATACCTCCAGCTTTGTTCTTTTTTCTCAGTATTGCTTTGGCTATTCGAGGTCTTTTGTGGATCCAGAGAAATCTGAGGTTTTTAAAAAATATATTTTTATTGATTTCAGAAAGGGAGAAGGAGAGAAAGATAGAAACATCAATGATGAGAGAGAATCATTGATTGGCTGCCTCCTGCACAACCCCTACTAGGGATCAAGCCTGCAAGCCGGTCATGTACCCTTGACCGGAATTGAACTTGGGACCCTTCAGTCCACAGTCCGACGTTCTATCCAACGAGCCAAATCCGGCTAGGAAAATCTGAGTATTTTTTGTTCTATTTCTGCAAAAAATGTCATTGAGATTTTGATGGGAATTGCATTAAATCTGTATATTGGACTAGGTAATACGGCCACTTTAACAATGTTAATCCTTCTAACCAATGAACACGGATCATCTTTCCACTTCTTTGTGTCTTCTTCAATTTCTTTTAACAATGTATTGTACAGGTCCTTCCCCTTCTCTGTTAAGTTTATTCCTAGGTATTTTATCCTTATGTTGCAGTTGTAAATGGGACTGTCTTCTTTATTTCTCTTCCTTATACTCTGTGGCGAGTATTAGGAATACAACAGATTTTGTATATTGATTTTGAGCTTGCAACTTGAGCAGACTTTTCTCTTCTCCCTCTCTCCTCCTTCTGATACATCTATTATCCTTAGGTTGCTCTGTCCAGTGAAGTGAGATAGTTCTCCTAGAGATTTTTCCTTTTCTTAAACCAGCCGTGGGCAAACTACGGCCCGCGGGCCTGATCCGGCCCGTTTGAAATGAATAAAACTATTGAAAAAAAAGACCGTACCCTTTTATGTAATGATGTTTACTTTGAATTTATATTAGTTCACACAAACACTCCATCCATGCTTTTGTTCCGGCCCTCCGGTCCAGTTTAAGAACCCATGGTGGCCCTCGAGTCAAAAAGTTTGCCCACCCCTGTCTTAAACTCTTAGTCCTCTCTTCTTTCTCCTGGATCACTTTTAGGTTTTTATCTTTGAGTTTGCTAATTCTCTCTTCCATCTGGACTGCTCTATTTCCAATACTCTCTAATATATTATTCATTTCATTTATTCAGCTCCAGAATTTGTGTGGTTCTTTTTTATAATTTCAACCTCTTTGGTCAAGTACTCCTTTTGTTCATTAACTTTATTCCTGAGTTCAATAAACTATCTTTCTGAGTTTTCTTGTATATCCTTGAGTTTCTTCATAACTATAATCATTTTTGTCGTTGTTAATCCTCACCCAAGGAAATTTTTTCATTGATTTTTAGAGAGAGTAGAAGGGAGGGGGAGAGACAGAGAGAAACATCAATGTGAGAGAGATACATCGATTGGTTGCCTCCTGCACATGCCCTGATCAGGGCCAGGGATTGAGCCTGCTGCAACCAAGGTATGTGCCTTTGACTGTAATTAAACTTGGTTTACCCTTCAGTCCACAGGCCGATGCTCTATTCATGGATCCAAACCAGCTAGACCCATAACTGCAATCTTGAATTCTCTGTTATTTATATCACTATCTTCCATGACTTTGATATGATTTCACTTTTCATTTTCTTTCTATGCTTCCGTGTACGTTGGTTGTTCATGGTGCTTGATGGACTATTTCCTGCCCATCAAGCAGTATGCAAGGGTTCATACTGCTTCATGAAGGGGAGTGGACTGGAGACACTTCTTTGTGGACTGTTTCTTTGGGGTAATGCTCTCCTGTTAGATACTGTTTTGCTCTGGACAATTCAGCCAGTTGATAAGTAGGGTGCTTTCTTTTGTTTTCCAGTAGGTGGTGCTACATTGCAAGTTTATGTTTTCTCTTGCACTGTTTGCACCTCTGGGATCATGGGTGTCCTCTCTGTGACCAGCTCATCTTGGCTATGAAGCACCGCCACTGTGATAGGGGAATGGCTTTGTGAACTCTCAGAGCTACCTCCTTTTTCTGCTGTGTTTTTGGCATTGCTGGGCTTTACCAGGGTGTGTTGGGGAGAGGAGGCAAGTCTGTGATCTGGCAGTTCTGCTCCACCAGTCCAGTCAGGGCTGTTGGCCCCCCACTTCCCAGACACCTCTACCTGTTCTGCTATGATGGGGAACAAGGAAAGGAGATGCCTTTTCAGGGAGGTAAACTGCTTCTGTCCTTCTTAAACTGCAGCTCAGCTCCTCCCCCCGCTACCACACTAGCCTAAGCAGCGGTGGGTGTCGAACTTTGTCTGAGGCTACAGTCCCTGTCCTTCCTCCTGTCATGCCTCCAGTATACCCACCTGGAGATGTCCCAATATGTGGCTCTTTCAGGTGTGTCTGTGTGCTGAACAGGGGAATCTTTGTGCAGTTAGAGTTGTCTGACTTGTAAATTGAAGGGGAGAAACAATGGAGTCTTCTTATTCTGCCATCATACTGACATCACTCTCATATTAATGCTATTTTAGTGGTTAACCAACTACTTCATCAATCTAATCTACATACTTCTACCAGATGATTTTTCCTTAAAATATGATTTCATTAGGTTACAGTTTCACTCAGAAGACCTTATGGGCCTCCCACTGCTCAAGAGTTAAGACCACAGTCCAGAGATCATCATAGATTTTTAAGTAATGGCCTTCAAAAAATCACACCTCCCAGAATTTCCAGCCTGTGTAGTCTTCTACACACTGACGGGTGAGTTGCTTTGGCCAATGGGGGGACCAGCTAGTGTAACTCCCACAGGGGCCTGCACTCTTGCAGGAGGGAGTGAGCCCACAACCTAGTCCAGGTGACTGTAGCTGCAGGAGTCAGACTGAGGGGCCCAGAGAGCTGCACTGCCTTTATAGGACCATGAGAAATAATAAACTATTGTTGTCTTACCCATGCCAGTGTGGACCCCAGGTCTGGCTTGGATACTGTCTTTTCTGCCTGAAGTGCTCTATGCAGCCATCTGCCTACTAAACCTAATATCTATCTGCTAGATCAGCTCCTACAAGGCCTCCTGCCTGCTCATCCTGTGTTTGTCGTTAGCTGTGCATGTTATCTTGAGTTATAACTGAACCGCTGACTGCACATCTGGACTCTTTAATATAGTAAAAATTCTTACCAAGGACTTTGCAAATTTATCTAAATATCTCAAAGCCTAGATGGCCTGCATCGATTCTGGAAACACCTTTGGAAGTGTGGAATTGTCCCCAGAAGGTGTTAAAGTGATGAACCCTTTGGGGAGAAGCCTTTTTAGCAGGAGGCTAAGTGACAGGTTATTCACTGAGTCACCTTGTAAAACTACCTCAGGCAGCAAATGCTAGAAGGAAAATCACTGCAGGTCCTGGTGATTCCCTTCCCAGGGGCATCTCCAGCAATGGCTCTGCAGCCTTGTGACTAAGCAGTCACCAAGGGAGAGTCAGCTGTGCAAGGTCCTGCTCTTTGAAGGAGGGAGGGGGCACCTGCAGAAGTCCCTGGAGTCACTGATACTGCTGAAGGGCGAGGGAACAAGTCCTAGGCCTGTTGCACTTCCTGACGCTGGAAACATCCGGCAAACGGCACAGAGATGCAGAAGTAAATAAGCAGCCTACTTCTCCAGCAACTACCACAACGGGGCACCCATCAAGAGTCTAGTCAGCATCCCCCCTTACCTGGGGTATACTCATGTGGAAAGTGTGTGAGGCCACAGGTTTATTTTCAAAATACCAGCAGGAAGCACCCAAAGGTGGGGCATGGTGAAGGAGAAAAATGAGAGCTATATCTCAAGTCTTTTTCAAACCTAACCATTAGAAACTGAGTGCTCTACTTATGCTCCTTGGGGGTCTTAATGAACCATGCTAGAGGGTGAAGCCGGGGTCTGAGTATTTTGGGAGTGATGATTGCTACCAAGGGAAAACTGTTCTGACCAGGTTAGAATTTGGTGTTTGTTAGCACCTCCAGTTTTTAAGGTGATCACTGACAACACTCACCTTTTAGCAGGAAAACACATGTGGAGATGCATGCCGGTTTCCTCCAGTGAAATCTCTTCAAACTAGCAGACAAACTGGTTCTCAGAGAGAGTGCTCACATTCATTTTGAAGAAAGCACTCATTATAAACTGAGAATCTAAGTTCAATCTTTAATTTAGATGTTTTTCCATTTAGGCTAAACGTTTAACTTCTCACATAATCATCAAAAGGGATATACTCAAAGGCAAGAAATTCTTCTACATAAGTAAAAGGAGAATAATTCCTTTGCTGCGGGATACTAACATCAATATTTTAAGTATATATTTTAAATCTTATTAGTTCATAAATAATTTGGTTGAAAAAGTAGAAAACATGTTTTTGGCATTGACAAAGACTGAACCATGTCAAAAAGTATGATTTAATCATTAAAATACATAGCAGCTCTGGCCAATGTGACTAAGTGGTTAGAGCATGGCAAGAGCACCGACGGTTGTGGGTTTGATTCCTGGTCAAAGGCGAATACCTGGGTTGCAGGTTGGATCCCCGGCCCCAGTTGGGGCTCGTGCAGGAGGCAACCAATCTATGTGTCTCTCTCACATTGAAGTTTCTCTCTCTCTCTCCACCCCCCTCCTTCCCTTCCACTCTTTCTCTCTGTTTAAAAAAAAAGAAAAAAAATCAATGGAAAAAATGTCTTTGGTGAGGACTAACAAAAGAAAAAAGAGAATACTTGTACATAACTCATAGTAGCTTATTATTTAATGTACTCATTTCAAATATACTAATATCCTATTATTGCCAGTTTTGTAGATTAAATTATTTGTAAATAATTTCTACCAATTTAAAGATATTTTAAAAATGTAATATCAAGCATCTAAAAATAATTAAGTAAAATATTTACTGAATGGCTTTTTAAAATATATATTTTTTTTATTTATTTCAGAGAGGAAGGGAGAGGGAGAGAGAGAAACATCAATGATGAGAGAGAATCACTGATTGGCTGCCACCTGCATGCCCCACACTGGGGACTGAGCCCACAACCTGGGCATGTTCCCTGACTGGGAATCGAACCGTGACCTCCTGGTTCATAGGTCTATGCTCAACCACTGAGCCACGCTGGCAGGGCCTGAATAGCTTTTATATGTGCTCTATATTTATAAATTTAGAAAACAGACAGACTTACCATTAACAGCTTTTTCATAATTTTTTCCTAGGTTTATTAAATTTCGTAGCCGCGGATTGAACTGTTCCATAACATTCTGGAAAACAAACAGAACAAACAAATTAATAAAGTGACCAGCACCAGTCATCTTTAGATGCTGTTACTACACAGGGCCTGGGACACCTATGTGTACTGGTCGGGAATGCTGACTTGCAGACAGTGAAGGGCACTGATGACCGGGGTGCTCACCCTGGTAAGGTGTCTGTAACCAGGCCAGCTCTCCAGTTGTCCAAGGGCTGCCTCGGACCTACTTGTAAATGGAGCAAGTAGTGGACAGGCTGCCTCTAAAGCGAACCCTGCAGGGGCTGTGAGCCCAGAAGCTGATGCCGCCTGGTTTTAAGTAGGTCAATGGTTGTCATTCTCATGATAGGAATTTAATTATATGGACAATGTGTTGGCTATCAATTGGACAGAAATGTCCAAGAGGCTGTGTTTTTACTCTGCCTAATTACAGGGGAGGGTGTGGGGTGAGCGTTGCTGATAGCTCTAGGACACTTTCTTCCTAGGTGGTCACTGGCCCTCACCCCCAGTAATCAGGGCATTTATTAAGTACTTCTGGAGAACTCCTGTGCACTAGGTCTGGTGCACAGCTGTGGACGGGAGACATGGTTCCCTCTCATGGATTTCATGATGCTGTATCTCTGCAGATGCCACACTTTTCAAAACTTGGAGACAAATGCTATGTCAGGTATAAGGCAATTATTTAGATGTTAGTCTAAATGTAAAATACCCTAAATCTGAAGCTCAGATAAGAAATCATATGTAAGGGGCTCCGACTAGACTCAGAACATACAGTGGCTGAATACATTTGTTCAACCTGCAAACACTGAGCTTCACCATATGAATCCCTCCAGACACACGACTCAAGTCTCTTCAGCTCCTCTTCCGAAATGTTAACACTTGGAGAGGACCAGGCAATGCAACAAATAAAAAACTAAGCAACGGCCAAAGGGGCAGATACTTGACACATGCTATTTCAGATATAAAGGTTCTCCATTATGGGTTAGAGGAGAAAGAACACAACTTTTATTTTTTAAAATTTTTTTTAATGTTTATTGATTTTTGAGAGAAAGGAAGGGAGAGGGTGAGATAGAAACATTAATGAAAGAGAGACATTGATCGGCTGCCTCCTGCACACCTCCCTCTGGGGACTAAGCCACAACGTGGGCATGTGCCGTGACCGGGAATTGAACCGGGGACTTCTTGGGTCATGAGGTGACGTTCAACCACAGAGCCACACCGGCTGGACCATAACTTTTATTTTTAAATATTTAAAAATTTTATTTATTGATTTGAGAGAGATCGATTTGTTACTCCACTTATTTACGCTTTTATTGGTTGCTTCTTGTATGTGCCCTGACTGGAGATCAAACCCACAACCTTGGCGTACTGGAACACTCTAACCAACTGAGTTACCTGGCCAAGGCTAGGAGAACACAACTTTTATTTTATCAAACAGTGATAAAGGCTGATGAAAACCACACCTGCCTCACCTATCCCCACCCCTGACTCACCTATCCCCGCTCCTGCCTGGCCTTACTTACTCCCAAGAGCTGTTATTCTTGTATTTACTGTCATAGTTTTGAGTAATAGTCTTGATTTCTCAATTTTGGGCCATAACTATAGGCTCTCTGCTAGAGTTGATGAAGACATGGCTCTCCTTTCCCCAACCTTTCCTACATAGTTCAAGGCAATTTCCTGTTAAGTCAATAGTCAGGGTTTTTGTTACTTTGTAAATATTGGTCACTACAAATCAAAAAATGTACCAAGGATTACAGTTCCTTTCCTGGTATGGACTTTTTGTTTCTTGTGGGATTAACAATTGTCTCACCCCCTCCCCCATGCTTAATTTTCTATGTAGCTACCTTAAATTTTTCCACATGCTCTGTAGAATCTAGCAGAAGCCTAACTAACAATAGTATTTTTCAAATGCGCAAAGTTGTCAGCTAATCTTCCATTCACCCACTCCCCCACCCCCACCCCAGAACTTCCTCCAAGGACTCTCCGTCCTCTTGCCCAGGCTGGCCTGAGTGGCCCTGCTACGCTGTTGCCCTTGCATGTCCCTTCCTGGTCCTTCGTGTTAGACCTCTCAGGACCTGGATAACACATCTTCCTCTTTCTTCATTTATTCCTTTTTACTGAAGATCATTCTCCAAGAATGACCTAAGAACGGATGTGTGAAAGGTAAATTTGAGTACCTATGTGTCTGAAACTATCTTTATCTTGACATTTGATTGATATTTTGCTAGAGTATTACAGATCAAAAGTGACTTTCCCTTAGAACTTGTAAGATAATGTTCCACTATCTTTAATATCCAGTTTTGCTATAGAGAAGTTGGCTATCATTTCTTCTTCCTTTCTATATAATATTTTTTGGGGGAGGAGGAGCGCTTATTTCTGGAAGCCTTTGCTTCATCTCTCCCTCCCTGTTCCTGAAATACATAATGGTTTTTCTCAGTATTTTTTTCATTTATTTAACTGAGCACTCAAAAGGCCCTATCTAATCTACATAGGAAATTATGTCCTTCAGGTCTGAAAAACACCCTGGAGTTATACTCTAAGAATTTTTCCTTTTTTATCTGATTTTCCACTTTTTGTTCTGACAGATAGCCTCAACTTTACATTCCTTTAAACTCTCCTACTAGATTTTAAATGTTTTTGATATATTTTTAATTTGGGCTCTGTCAAGTTTTTTTATTATTCCTCTTTATGTATTTATTTTTTATAATTCCTATTTTTTTTATTATCCTTTTTAAAAGCATCCTGTTCTTGTTTTATGGAGGCAATATTTTCTCTTATTTCAATAAACTGTAGTTTGGGGGTATTTCCTTTCAGTTCCCCATGTTATTTCCTGTTTATTTCTTCTCATTGCTTGGCATCCATCTGTCTTTGGTGTTGGAGGGTTTCCTCAACTGTCTGGTGACCCCTGATCAGTTCTTCAGGAGTAAATCCTAACGTGCCGGCTGGAAGCTTGTGAGTGTGGGGATGCACACAGCAGGCTTCCTGTGGGGTGACTGACAGGTCGGCTGTAGACAAACTGGCCACGCAGCAGTAGCCAGAGGCCACAGGGTCATTCCAGAGATGTTTCTAATTCCCTGTCCTTGGGTGGGGGAAGGGCCATCACCAGGAGGTCTGCTTTCCTAGTCAGGAAGGGGGGTGGGAATCCCACAGTTTACTGAGCTGATTTTTACTGAATTCCTCTGATTTAGCTCTGAGTTTTACTCACCCACCTCGGTGGGTATTTCCAAGTCACTATATTTTGAGATTAAATCTCCAGTCTGGCAGGCAGAGGACACTACTGGTTGGAGTGGTGGTTGGGGTGGGGAAGGGAACCTGGTAGTTTAACCATCTTGTAGAATGCCTGTTACTTCCCATGTGTCCCCTCCCTTCTGTGGGGTCTGCTCCTCAGCCTTGGGGTGCTCCAGTGAATGGCTCAGCTCTCATCAACACTCCCCCTGCATGTTGTTGAGGTTCTCATAAGGCAGTTACTGCTCCTCTGCCCATTTCTATCACCCCAAATTTCTTTAGGCTTTTTGTCAACTGATATTTCCTTTTTCAGGTCTCTACACTATGGATTTTTAAAAATATAATATATTTTTATTGATTTCAGAGAGGAAGGGAGAGGGAGAGGGAGAGGGAGAGGGAGAGGGAGAGAGAGAGAGAGAGAGAGAGAAACATCAATGATCGGCTGCCTCCTGCATGCCCCTTATTGGGGATCGAGCCCACAACCTGGGCATGTGCCCTGACCAGGAATTGAACCGTGACCTCCTACTTCATAGGTCGGTGCTCAACCAGCTGGGCTACACTATGGATTTACAGTTTTTTAAAAAAGTTCTTTTGCCCTCATTTTAACATATCTTCATTAAAAAAAAAAAAAAGTAGACAAACATAGGCAGTCTATCCATCATGCTTCACTGGAAGTCCACTTGTCCTCTTTTATTTAAGCCAGCTGGCTGTTTAAGCCTCCTTCACGACCAGCAGCCACGAGGGCCCAGCCAGCGCTGACTCCCTCACCAGTCTGTCTGCAAGACGGTAAAACTACCTGAGCACAGGACCTGTAGCCACAACCGCTACTTCCGTCTCTTTCCTCAATTCCCTTGGTTTGTTTTTAAGCTTTTTATTTTGAAAAAGCTTAAGATTCACAAGAAGTTGTAAAAATTGTACAGGGAATTCTTATGTATGCTTCCTCCCAAGACAACTTATATAACCATAGCGCCTTATCTAGCACATTATCAAAACCAGGAAACTGACATGTTGGAGGGTTTTTATTATTCCTCTTTATGTATTTATTTAAAAAAAAAAAAGTTTAAGACTTGAGAGTACAATCAACTTCATGATAAACTGAACTGTAGACATTATGTGGCTTGACCAGTTTTTATATCACTCATTTTTTTTGAAGAGGTGAACTGATTCTATGAAATTGTATCACATGTACAGATTTGTATAAATCATCCCCTCAATGATAATACAGACCTGTTCTATCAACACAAAGATCTCGCTCATGCTCCCCACTTCAGAGCCGCACCCTTCCCCAGTCCTAACCCCTGGCAACCACTGATCTCAATCACTACAGTTCTGTCATTGTGAAAATGTTATATAAATGGAACCATGTGACCTTTTGAGACTGGCTTTCTCACTCGGCACAAAGCCCTTAAGTACCATCCAAGTTTACTGCCCTTTTTTTTTTGGCCAGTAGTATTCCACAGTATGGAAGTATCACAGTTTGCTCATCCTTATACCCACTGATCATATGGGTTGGTTTCCAGTTTGGGGCAATTTCAAATAAACCTGATACAGACCATCACATATAGGGTTTTGTGTGAATGTAAATGTCCTTATCTCTTAAGATAAACACTTGGGAGTTCAACTGCTATGTCTTATGGTAGGTGTATGTTTAACTTTGTAAGAAATTGCTAAACTATTTTCGAGGAGAACCAAGATGGCGGCATAGGTTAACGCCGGAGTTTGCTGCCTTGAACAACTACTTCAAAAGTGAAACTAAAAGACGGAAGGGACATCACCCAGAACCACAGGAAC